TAGGCCTTCTCGCATTCCAATTTCCTGCCTCACATAATTTTCCTTCACCACCTTGATATCCTCTTTCGACAGCGTCTGAATATAAGCTCATCTTTGAGTATGCCTTCATCAATGAATAGACCATTTTCCATTTGAACAAACATACGCTTTCTCAGAGTTCACTTAGATTATCGAGGCTTTACCAACAAGCTTGTATCTTTTGCATGCTAGCATACTTTTGGTTGTGTTTTGTAAGAACGAACTTTCTTTTTGGCCAGAAACTACGACAGAAACATCGCGTTCAGCACTAAGAGTTTTTTGCAACAAAAGAAATGGAAAATGCAACGTATGCTATTTTCGAAAGGTTTGCAAGGCCCATCCTTTGCTGAAAAAGTTCTGGCAACTAATCTTTCAGATTACAGATTCACCGCGATTACATCTTCTCCAAGGTGCAAGCAGTTCTTGCCTTGTTGAGCGGGCTGCTATTCACCCATAGCCTATATTGGGTTGGTAGCATATTCGTACGTTTTTTCGGAGGTAAGCAAACCAGCCCTTTTGGCGTTTCGGCTGGGACCGTATGCTGAATGTTGGGGAGGGGATGGGGTCCCCAACGGTCGACGGTTTACTTCAACTCGGTTGGTACGATAGGAGAGTACTGACGCAAGTGGTGCAGCTGGTCCAGCAGCTCCGCCAGAAGGGCTGGTTTGCTCACCCCAGGACTAAGCCTTGGAGAGGGGACGGACCCGTCCTCTCTTTAAGGCTTAGTTCTGAGGTAAGCACCAAATTGTGGCGGTTCTAAGGACCGAGTTGAAGTGGTCCGTCCACCGTCGGGGACTCCATCCCCTCCCCAACATTCAGCATACGGTCCCAGCCGAAGCGCCAAAAGGGCTGGTTTGCTTACGTCGTTTTTTCGGGCGTATAAATTCAGTCAGTACAAGTGAACCCGAAAATCGCCTATACCTTTTGAAAGTGCTTTTTTCGCTCTACAAAAATTACTTCGTCATTTCCCTCAAAATTATATTTGTACTCATACATAATGCTTAGAAGTTGGAAAATCCAGACGGCAGAAATCGGCATTTCGACAGCTGTTATTTTTCAGTTCACATAAAGAAAAAATACCGTCAAAACAAAAGTTCTTCAGAATCCATTGTTCTTATCGAACCTCTGCTCTGATCAACCCTGTCTTCTTCGCACAAATTAAAATCATATTCTTAACTTACAAATTGAGAACAGTGAATACTCCGAGAACCAGCGTAACATATTTTTTAATTTCTAAATCCGGTGACATTCTGCGAAACAGAATAAAAGTCGTAAATCATGACGAAGTGAGCATCTCCTATCAAGTTTTATGCTTTTACTTTTCGCTTCAAACGTTTGTGTGCGAAAGTGAAAATTCAATCGCTATAATATTACGCTCTAAACCCGATAGTACATAGCCTCAGTTGCCTATCAGAAGGTGTAATTCTCATGAATTCAACGAATCTTTGGTTTTCGGTGCCAGAGATGAGAAAAGAACTTTCTATCATCTAACCCACTGAGAAATGGAACACGTTGTTGAATGCTGTTCTCCTCCGATGTTCTTCATAGACGAAGATTACAACGAGTAATGTGAGAAAAGCCGTCATACTGCATAGCAACCTGAAACACGTACTCTTATTGTTCCCTTTCCCTCGATTGCTATTGAAATCAAGGATCATATATACTTCTTAGATTTTTCACTGCAACAAAAGCCCATTCTGGAATGAAGGTAATAATTTGCTACCTCTGTCGTGTTACCACTAAAATCGAAGCGATTGTCAGGATACTGCGATTTGTTGGCGCATTGGTCCTCGCGTCGAACATATCAAAGGTATCGCTTGAAAACGACAAACGAAAAGGCAGATAAAAAACTTTTATATAAATTCAAAAAAGGAAGGCGAAGAACCACTTATTGCAGTTCAGTTCACTCTGATGAGAGACATGCACAGGAGTTCAGCTAATGGTTCTATTATTAGTAAGGATGAGAAAGATGTAACGAATTCCTCCTTGCACGCAGCTGCTCGACCAGTTACCACGCGTCAACCAAGGTTCGCAATAAGTGTGTTCAACGTAACCAATGCCCATTGGCGATACTTCATATATCCTCACGCGTCATCGAAAATTATAGAGACTGTTTTAAAATAATAGCTAAAATAAAGCCATCATAACTAAGTAGATTACGAAGCTAAATGAAAATCAGGAAAACGCTTCCAAATGTTCCAACGCATTGCAGAAGGCTTCTTCACAGAGGGGGTGCGGGAGGGGGGAGGGGGGGGGTGATAGAAAACCAGGCACTCTCCCTTCACATCCGAAATGGAATAATTACCTTTCGAATGCACCCAACTGAGCATTTAAGAAACATTCCAAGCTATCACAAATTCCATAATAGCCTTCTACATAGACGGCATCAAAAAATGTTCAAAACGGTGCACTGTTCGAGCTTAAAGGAACAGGTAGCAGTTTTACCTTCGACACTAATGCTGTGGAACGAAGCGCTAGCTCTAGTTGAGAACATAAGAAGTGTAACTGAACAAAAAACTCGCTTTGGAAAGCCCCTAGAAAGGGAGCTGAGCAGCTTTCGAAGAGGCGTGGTTGGAATCAGCCAAAGTGACTGCACAACCACGAAAACGGTCAATCAGACAGGAAATGAACTCTGCATCTGTTCATGAGCAGACACCTATTTGGATGTCAAACTTCCACACAAACAGCACCCTCCGCGAGGAAAAGTTTGGCGATGTGTGGTCCCGGCGAAATGACCCTCCCACCCTCACCCACCTCTCGCATGCATTACTTCGGCGCTAACGGACGGACCACAGATGACAGGGATATGATACCATCCCTTTACCCTTCAAACCATTTGTACTTGTGAGTGGTCAATGGTTAACTTCAATTAAAGAATCGAAGACTTTTGTGAGCGACAAATGACGTCGGCTGTTGACCTGAACATTTAGACGATCGCTAGATGTAGATTGCACGCCAACACAAATAAAAGGTCATCTTCCGACTATGGGTTGTAGGCTTTTTAATGACAGTTGGAAAGTGCACGCGACGAAACATGGAGATGTGCCGTGTTTAGGGTGGGCCCGACTCAACACGTGTGGAATAAGACAATCTTTCGCATCCTGTGGAGACGTATCCTTGGATCTTGTCACACCGATGTCTCTGCCAAATAGAGCCAAATGCTCAGATCCTTTCTCAACAGCTTCACTAGAGCTCCGGTCCTAACCATAGATTGTATACGATGACATGAACGTCGGCTTATGTTCTTATGATAAGAAAAGCCAACCTCGGATGGAATGTACCGTCCAAGGTTGGGTTTGTGGCTTGGAAGAGCTTGCCCATACCCATCTTGGTGGAACCTTTGCACAGCCTTACCATTGAAGTTCCCAGTAGGTACTCATAAAAATGAGACACTGGAATAGCTTCCACAAAAATTGACGTCTTGGTCAAGGAAGCTAACTGTCAATGAGTTGGCTATCTTTTTAAATTGGCCAAAGGGGTTGCTACGACGCAAGCCATTTTCAGAGCGTTGGAGATTTCTGTGAAAGTTTTCATAGCAATTAATAAAAGTGGCCCAGAAAGTTCTGATCAACCTAATAACTTGGGCACTCACCACTATCATAATCCCGAAATCTCAAGCAAAAACTTCGCTGGCACTTTGCCTACGGGAGTCAGTTACACGCCCCGGTAAGGTACAAAATTCGTTCTTAGAGTGGACAGATTTTGCGAAACTTGGACTCCGATTTCTGCGCCACGGCTGCTTTCACCTAATTGAGTGTAATTTCGTGTATGTGGGTCACCTGATGCCCTGAACGACTATGACACTCTCGAAGATACATGATTCTGTCTCACCCTATAAATCACTAGCTTGAGACAATCGTTCACGATAAAATGAAAAGAACAAATGATTGATTGGTAAACAATTCGAAAACCTGGGAAAGACTGCTAAGCGTTCAAATTCCGCCGGACATCTGTCACAAATGCTGGCGACGGGATGCTTCCACTTGGTTCTTGGAGTGCCTTCACTAGAAACTCTTTCTGGCCTTCTGCTTTATTGCATTCACATCTCACACTTCTACTCCATCCTATTCTATCGATCGATTTGTCTCTACTCTCCGAAATCGCGCTTTAACCCGATTCATTCATTGCGTCGTGTGATACGTAGGCAGCCAAAGGCCAACTCTTTCCACAAGAAGGCTCAAAATAATGTTAGCATGTCCTAAAACTAATTGGAGAGCCAATAGCTTCACATGCAGAGCGGCAAGTGCATATATAAAAGTTACCAAAAATATTGATAGCCATATGTCATTGAGGCAGTTCAAAAGGAAGATATCTGCAAAACTACTCAAATATGAAGTTTCGTAGGATCTTGAAATTGACTTTCTTCCTGATCCTCCCTTTGTGATGTGATGAATTTTCCTTTGTCATTCAATTGAGATGCTGATGAGTTTTAATTGTATCATGAGTGATTTATTACGATTGTATTTCCCACGATTGCCTTATGCAACGTAATAAATAAATAAATAAATAAAATGGCCTCGTCCATGGCTCCGTGTGACCCAAATTCGATCGCCCATAGAGTGTGGTTTTCGTTAGTTTGCTTCTCATCGGAAATTGAATCTTGGTGAGGGAACCCTCTTATTTTTATAACATGTATGTTTTTTGTATGCTGTCTCTGACGATTACAGCTGACATATTCATCGGAAAGAAAGCAAGAATTTTCCAGGAAGGATCCCTTTGAATGCCTTTGAGATTATGAACAAAACGAAGGCATGAAATATCCTGGAAAAGAATTACACGTAGCCCTTCATTTTTGGACTATTTTCTGTGCACTAGCTTAAAACATTAATCTCTCGAAAAACAAATATGACCCGAGTATGTGCGTAAAAAAGTGAAAGCTCCTAAATGTTTATTGAGAAATGTCTCATCAAAATTATTATCATCAAAATTGCGAGGTAGTGGGACGCACAAACTAAAAAAAGAGTGAACAATGGCCACATATTTCAAGAACTTTGAAGAGCGTCTCGGCCGGAGAGCTGATCAAGATTTGGCAAAGGATAGTGGAGAAGTTTGTAATCGTAATAAAACAGACGAACAATCAGTTCCATAAGATATGGGCTCTGCCGAATTCGATCTTCAAGAAACGCTCGCGCTGCTGACTTGACAGTGCTGTGAGCAGTACGTCCGGAACGAAGCGACTCCGAAATGTAGCTGATCGCAGATTCCGATACCTTCGAATTGAGAATTAAAAAAGTAATTAAGGACAGTGAGCGTCATCTGAATTGCTAGTAGGAGCAAACAATGTCATTCCAAAGAAATCAGGGCCCCCATGTTGTCCAGTGGCAAAGCGGTCTCGCGTTCATGGGATTTGTGGGCGAAGGGTCCCTCATTTAGAGAATCTCGCCTGACTGCTGGAATACCGTAGATAAAGGATTCACTGTTACCCTTCCCCTATTTCCTATCCCACGGAAATCAGGAATCGTCCCGAATATAACATGAATTTCAAGCAAAAGACAAATACCAGTATGAAATAAGTAAGTTGGAATCGTAAAAATGAACAATAATGGACGTGCAGCACTTAGGTGATTAACTTGACATGAAAACGCCACGGTAGGCCAAATCAACCGGGAGAATACCTACATGGAATCAGCCACCCCAAACTTCTTCATTTCAGAGCATGTTGATGAAAGCTTTGATTTCGAAGAAAATTATTTAGAGACTCACATTTTGGGATCTTAGCAGTGGAGTTAGATCTCCCAGAAGTGACCCACTGGGATCGTTCGAGTACCTTATGAACTGATATTTGTCATAGTACGACTCCATATCGCATCGCCTGAAGTATGTACTGTCATTTCTCAGGAAACATTTCGTTTAGAGTAGTCAGAATTGTTATGGCCGAAGTGTGTGTTGGTGAGGATACCCATTCCACAAACGCCTCTGTTGTTCCCGTTGAACAGTTCTTCACAGTATCGAGAACAGGGGCGGAAGAAGTGGTGTAGTGGCAAGTGGCACGCTTACCACGCGAGCGGTCCGGGGATCAAATCCTGGGTCGTGAGTCGCCCGGGCCAACCAAGCCTTCCATCCCTCCGGGGTCGGTTAATTGGTACCAGACTTGTCTGGGAGGATAAAAACACTGACTTGTACATCGGCTGGCCCCCGCAAGTCATTGTATAGGCCACATCGCATTCAAACGCCACTACGAATGTACAAATGGAAGTAGAATGCGTGCCGCATCCCAAAAAGGGATTGATCAACGGCAAATGCTTTATTCTCTTATCCATTTATCGACAACGGCGTGATGAGTATGGTTCCTTCCGTCTCTGTTAGGCCAATGATGTCGTACGTCTTTCTCACTTGCATCTTCACAAGAGCACCGGATGCAAACGTTCATGCTGTAGCAGAGAAGAGAAGGCTGTCTTTGTCCCTCCCCATTTAGCAGCCTATTTGAGCCCTGAAATTTATCAAACCTCTCCCAGTCCGGTCCGACGTCCGAAATCTGCCTTATTTTGAGTTTCCCTCTAGTTTGGTTAAATGCATGTCCGATCCATACTACTTATTCCCGATATGTTCGAATACGTAGCTTGCTAAGATAGAAACGTGGGAGCTGTGTACGTGATCTCCAGGTAGTTTAGCCACGCTATCGGCGGAGCAGAGATGAAAGACCTTGTTTGAGGCAGCCCGCGTCGCTTCCGCTTCTCCACTTCACGTTGAATGCAAGTTGGTGCTGTCCCTACATATTGCAGTACCCCAGCCACTTACGATTAGTGTGCACACATAAGTTAGTAATGGATCGACAAAGCACTATAGAAACAGGATTTCCACCCTCGGGTCCGCATGTGGTTTGGAGCAAGCGCATAGCAGCATTTGGTCCGCGATTTACCACCGCCCTCCATACACCACTCGAGATCTCGCCCGCTGCCTTGTAAGCGTCTTGAGATCTTACAAGTTTGGAGAACTTCTACAGTGAAGTGTCCAATGCAACATGAGATCAGGGTCACCGTACGGTCGGACCAATATTCGAAAGGTTTCAACGCCCGCCCCCTTCTAGAGGGCCTAGATACGACCTCCCAGGGTTAACCCTTCACGAAAAACCTCCACCATCCTCGCCTGCCATTGTCGTCATGGGAGCGATACTGTGTGTGTGCGATACTGTGTGTATAGTATTTGATTCTGAGACCATTCGACCCATTCCAACTCCGCCCACCGTAATAACTTCGCCCTAACCTTCCGCTTCCGAAATAGCCGTCCAGCCGGGCGACATATATTCGAATATGAAAATTTCGCATCACGAATCCCAAACCAGCCAACGACGCCCTAGCCACTCTCCAATCCATGAAAATCATCCTTCCTTACTTGTGACATTGAACATTAACTCACCGAAATATCGAATCCCCCTCTTTTCATCCTCTCAAATAGATCGCCCTCGTTACACTTTGTCCCAACGGTAACGGTTTGATCGGCCTGCTGAGAGACATTTTGTTCCGTTGTGAAATGGTAATCCTACATCTCCAAAGCCACCGCACATCAGATAATTTTCCGGGTCAGGGAACCAACCCCAAAACGCAAAGAGTGGCGCATGGTTGGTCCGATAATAGCTGTAGAGCAAACAATCTGAACAGGCAGATGCCGTGCCATAGACGAACCACCTGATGACAAAATAGCACCCTAAAATTCAATTAAAGGACGAATTTACGATGGAAAAGCAACCCATTCCAAATTGAGGTAGAGATGGTGAGTAGTACCAGAAAGAAAGCGAAACCACGAAAAACGGCCCAGAACCGGAGAAATGGGACCCCTTCCTTGTCCGTTGATTTGAGCATTGATGGGACTCTCATCGCTTTGCCCTCTTCAACCCTACGCTCTCTCAGCTATCTAATCACTCGCCACCTATTGTACTACGGCGAGTGATCAGACGATCGGTGGGCGGAGATCGCCGAACTCGCCAACTTTGAGCCATGCTAGATCTCAGAGGTCAAATCTTTCGATGCCGATTGCGTGTCTGTCCGCACCCTCAAGAGATTCACCGCTCTCCCCACTAGGCGATTTCTCCCTTCTTCGACCTTCGTTCTTTCCGTGCAATCCTCCTTTAAATTGGGCAATTTCAATACAGTCTCCTGTGGAAACCTAGAAATTTGTAAATGCAACAGGCCCTATATTGGCATAGTTCTGGCTTGAATTCGAAATGTCCCAAGAAAATTTTTACTCACCAGTTCTGTGGAAAAACATGGATATCCTCCATGGTAATTTTTGGTCTCGAAAAGCCAGCTTTGTCGGCGACTGCGTACTGTCCAGCTCTGAAGTGAGGAGTAGTCGAGAGAACAAATGAGTGAACAAAGTGAATGTTGCTAACCTTTTATATTCTTCCTCAAGGAAGCAAGTAATGTTACTGCCACATCCAAAGCACGAATCTCCGACCCTAAGCAACTGCTCTATAAAATCGTATCAATGGAAACAACAGCAGTGGTGAATTGTAAACAGCTTTCCGTAAATGGCTTTCGTTGTTAGCGCTCTAGCTTCCTTGCCACCTGGTGGGTGTCTGGTCATAGAAGAGCCAAGCGCCCGTTCAAATTGTTTGAAAGGGTTGAAAGGGAGGATGGTACTCGAAATAAAGCTGTGGGAGAATAGGGGTCATATTATGAGTTGATCAAGGCTAACCATTTCTTGCCATCTCTTGAAACACACGAGTAGACGGTCGTGCTTGTGGAGGTTGAAAGGGTCATGGTTACGAGAGGGAAGTCTTGACGGGGATTCTCGACGATTTTGGCGGAAACTTCGCGAAAGAAGCACGAAATAGAACTGGAACATTTGACAGAAAATGTTGGAGCCATGGAGATAGTAGAGGGGCTCCAGAAAGG